CCTTATTCATAATATAATTCCAATAGACTGTATTTACAAGTAGAATACGTCCAATTAGATTGGAATGCCGGGTACCCTACTCTAACAAAGGATACTCTTGAAGGGGACGGGAATGATGCGAACGAGGGTCGTACCCTTAAAAATGCGTACAAACGGGCCCGACGAACTCATCTCAAGAAGACTAAGGCTGAGGCAGATGCAGGTGCAACTTTCATGAGCATGCAACAGTTTGCGGCGTCTCTTGCCAAGCCGTTGGATCCGCCGTGCCACGCCACATCAAAACCTCCACGCCGCGAGAACTTCCACGAACCTACAGAGACTTGGCCGTCCCAGACTGCCACGCCGTGGAACACGACACGCCGGACCTCTCTGCCCGTCACGCCGCAGAGCAAGTCGCGAGGAGCGCCACGGATCAACAGAGAGGCTACGGATGAACCAGGTGCCACACCAGGGATCAAAAAACGCTCGCTTGAGCACCAAATCTCGTGTCGACCGACGGCCATTCCAGTGCGGGTTTACACTTTTTCGTATTTTTCTTTCATTTCGATACAAGATCGTAACTGCCTTTAGCACCCATAAATATATGGACAACATACAAATAAAAAGCAGAAAAACAATTTAATAAATACATAAAATAAAAAATTGAGTGGAATTATCCGCAATAATGCGTGTAAGACACATGTTAAACTTGACAACAATGGGGGCTTCGCGCCACCTATTAACTAATATAAGGGGGTTTCATGTAATTTTTAAATTACAAAAGGAAAAAACGCCCAAATTTCAATAAATACAAGGGGTGTAGGATATTTTTCCTATGGTTTAGATTAAATCAACTCTAAATTTGAATAAAAGTATTTAGGAACTTATTTGATTTTCTTTTATTAGAATTTATGCAAAAATTAATTCAACTGGTTTTTCTTGGTAGACGTCTCGGGATTGATTATTCGAACGGAATTGCACTAAAAATAACTACTACACCATATTATACTCTAATTTAGCAATCCTAATTTCAGGATTGACAAACAACTTGATCAAATTCAGGTTCTAACATTTTCTTGTCTACCCTCTTTCGGTTCAATTAGTCGCCACTATTGGATACACTTCATTCCTTATCTAATTCAGTTCCTCTAAATTCATAGGTAAGACTATTCAAAATTCGGTTAAAACTGAAACAACATAAATAACCGGCAAAAATGCATTTTTAGTCTTGTTGGTTAAACACCATAGCAATTTTTTAATCCCAAAGTTCCAGCTTTTTTGCCTTTTGGTCCTATAATTTAGTTTTTTGCTGCAATTTCAGTCCTCAAAAAATTGAAACTGCCACAAAATTTTAAACAAAAGGACTGAAATTGCAACAAAATCTTCAATTACAAGACTTAAATTACTAATAAAAAAATCTTTAAATTTGGAATTTTGTTACAATTTCAGTCCTTTGAAGACTGAAATTACAGCAAAATATTAAACTACAGGACCAAAAGGCAAAATGTTAGAATCTTGGGACTAAAAATGCTATGGCGTTAAACCAACAGGACTAAAAATACAATTTAGCCTAAATAACCAACCTAAATGTAAATTTCAGTTTGGATATTTTACTTTTAAATTTTAGTTGTTTTGGTTCACTTTTATTTATATAATACCAAAATAACCGAACCGATCGAACATTTATTTTCAGCAATAACAATTTTAAATATTCAACTAAAAGTATTAAAAAGCTAAACATATTAATTTATATTATTAATTATAATTCATTTCAATTATTTCAGCCAAACTAATAAACCAATTATTTAAGTTTTATTTCAGGTTGGGACAAATGTTCAATCAATCACAACTACAACTACAACATTTCTGACCGATGAACACCTCTATTTGTCTCGGATAACTAATAAACCAATTATTTAAGTTTTATTTCAAGTTGGGACAAAAGTTCCATCAATTACAATTACAACATTTCTGACCCTGAACACCTCTATTTGTCTCGGATTTTAATGGCACTAGTCGATGAAGTGTACAACGAAATACAATAATCAATTAATTTGAAGAAATATGGGCACAATCAAGTTTTGAAGAACATTTTCGGAATAATCACAAAGTATTGAAAATTGAAGATATCTTTTGCTATGTTTTTCTTCTACTCTTAGAGAACATATTCTGAAAAATCACAAGAATCAAATATCGGTTCTCCTTTTCGTTCAAAATCCGTAAAACAAGGCCATCAAAAACTGATCGAAACAACTCATGGTACAATCATACAATTTCATAGCAAAAGATCTCAACCAAATATCAATTCTCCTTTTAGTTTAAAATCCATAAAACAAGGCCATAAAAAACTGATCGAAACAACTCATGGTACAATCATACAAACTTCATAGCAGAAGTTCTCAACCAACTAGAAAAAGAAAGAAAAAATGTCAATTGCTGGGGACAAAATATGGGTATTCCCAATACCCGGTGATTTGCACGTCAATGGTATTTTCGTCAAGCCACTCAATCCACAGCCATTTTATCTCGCTTTGAGACAGGCCACATACTTTGCGAGAAAGTTTATCAAGATCATTCTACAAGTTGAAAAAAAGATCAATTTACAAGTCATTGTGTCGTCACTCAATCAAGCACATATATACACACATATAATTGTTGCCTGATTTATAACAAGAATAGCATCTCGCTCACCTTTTCACATATCTTCTCATAAACATCCTCTGTATAGTTATCTTTCAGCATATCTTTGAAACCCTGAACGTTCGTTCCATTGGAAGTAATGATATACACTGACTTGTTTAAATTCACTATTTTCAAAGTAGCCAGACGGAATATTGAGAAAAATAGAGGCAATAATAAAATTTCTACCTGCACAGTACAAGGATAATCAACATCATCAGCTATAATTACATCTACCCGCTGAAGTTCCACGCCTGCTTTCTTGATCTCATCAATCAACTTGAGATACAAGCTTTGATCGCTCCAATACCCCAGTATGATTGCCAAGACTTCCCTTTAAGAAGGAAAAAAAGACAATAAATAAGTAAATTACACTTGTTGATGCTTCCAACCACAAAGTAGTAACATAATTTGATCCAATAGTATGTAATTAGTACTACCTCCTATTCTTTTTAAATGTCATTTTGGCTTTATCAACCATTAACAAAATAAATGTCGTTTTAGATAATTTGATCCAATAGTATGTAATTAGTACTACCTCCTATTCTTTTTAAATGTCATTTTGGCTTTATCAACCATTAACAAAATAAATGTCGTTTTAGATTTTTTGTACATGTTTTTCCATTATTACCCTCGTTTAGCTAATAAATACACTACGTCTTTTCATATTCACTCTTCATCTTTTCTCAAAACATTCATCTCTATCTTCATTAATGAAGGTTATTATTGGCAAAAAAATATTCTTAATTATTGCGCAACTTCTCAAAACGACACTTATTATGAATAGGAGGGAGTATTATGTAAATGAATAGTTATTGATCAATAAATCCAATAAATCCACTTCACATAATAAATCTAATAAATCCAATTCACAGTGGTAAGTACCAAATTATCACCTCATACAGAAAAAGTCTTGTTTCGCTGCCAAAAAGAATCCAAAAAAGGCATCCCTCTTCAGATATTCCAGTCGTACTTGGTCATTTGCATCCAATGAGAACGCTTTAATGTGTGCTAACAGCATAGGATCCTACAAAATTAGTATGAGAATATGAATCAGATATATAATTGCTTGGAGTGAATATTTTTGTCCCTCATGCGAAAACAGATTCTAAAGAATACCTCCTCATGTGTGTCAACACATGCCTTTATAAACTCAGAACTTCCAAACAACTTTCTCACTTGTGCACCAAGAGTTGCAGCTACTTGCTCACCATCTTTACCAACAAGCTTAAGGGATTGGAAAATATCTCCTACGAGTTGCCTAACATGTGGCTGCTTATCTAGTATGCTAGCCATATCAATCACAGCATCTAACTGCAAAAAGAGAAGAAGAATAAGAGAGGCAAAAGAAACACAGGTATTTCAAAATAAAAAGGAATCTCCATGTGGGCAGCATCTCACTAACCAACCAACCAAACCACGTATGCATGTTAATAAAATATATCAATAAATAAATTAAAATAATAAAAATAATTTCAACAAAATTACCCCAATGATAACTTGAATGACAGTGTCGACCATCATAGACACCTCCTCGGCATAGCTGAGAACAGGAGCTAAAGGTATCTCTACCTGAAAATTTCAATCAAAAAATGCTATAAATACTCGAACAAAGAAAAGAAAAAGCTTGCTCAGAGCTATTTTTTTTTTTTTCTTCTAAAAATTCTATCGGTAACGAAATTTGATTGCAACCACATACTTTCCGCCTATTTACTTTCACAATCCACATTTTAAAATTCTCATTATGAATCTACAAAAGGATGAGCATTAAACAAGTCCTCAATTAAATATATAAATTTACCTAAAACTAATCAACAAGACATAAATAATCAAACTGCCAACCATGCACATAAAGTCATATATATCAATATAGATATATTACATATGGTGAAGACATCTACTTAATCACCCCCAAATCAAAAGGAGTATTGCCAAAACAGAACCTGCATTTCTGAATCACCTCCGATATCAGCAATGGAATTTTCCTCGCCACACGTCATCATAGGTTCACAACTCAAGAGCTCATTTGAGATATTTAAGGAACTCCTAAGAGAATAAAACGTTAATTTAAAAGCATAAACAAAAGGGTAAATGGAACACTTCAAGCCAAATCATAGGAAAATGCATCTCAGCAACAAGACTTTAGCAAGATCACAAAAACAATGCACATAGTACATAGGTTCAACCATATTTGAGTATCGGGGGGATAAGGTATTAGCAGGAACAACTTCTATAAATGCTCCAAGATTCTCATTAAATAGAGAAAAAAAAAAAAAAAAAAAT